CCAACTCCATAGTCAATAGGCTTTTTTGTTGATGGGTCAAGAGAAGGCAGCTTCTTCGCCACTTGCAGAGATGGGAGAAGAGAGAGCAGAACCCTAGAGACTTCAAGCATTGTTGGTCTCTCTAAAGGGTTTCGCTTCGTGCATAAGAGAGCCAGCTTAAATGTCTTCCTGATATGTCCCAAGTCCATACAAGTCACAGTAACCTCTGGATCAACTGCTTCCATCACAGTATTATCATCAGTCTTTGACAATATCTGCAACAAAGAAAACAAATTTTAGCTCTTTTTGATGGTACTACAAGATCATATAAAAATATATCTTTCTTTCAAAAGTTTCAGGATTCATATACCAGTTGATGCAAGTTAGCTTCATTGTCCACTGCTTTCTTCCCGGTAAGAAGCTCAAGAAGAACAATCCCAAAGCTGTAGATATCAGATTTCTCATTGAGACGTGAAGTACAAGCATACTCTGGGTCTATATACCCAATTGTCCCCAAAACGTAAGTCGAAGCATGAGTTTTGCTGGCTGGTATGCTCTTAGCAATCCCGAAATCCGATAAATGTGCTTCGAAATTTTCATCAAGAAGTATATTCGATGATTTGATGTCACGGTGAATGATCCGAGGAGTACAATCATGGTGAAGATAGGCTAGTCCTTGCGCAGCTCCAACCGCTATCTTCAGCCTCGTCTCCCAATCAAGCTTCACTTTCTTCAATGGCCCTACTTTTAAGAAAATAAAAACCAAAACTTCTTGTTATATTTCATCGGCAAAACATTTTATCACAAACTAAAGCAAAAATGTTTTTAAAAACTAACCATGAAGAAGGTCCCAAAGAGATCCATTTTCCATGTAGTCATAGAAGAGAAGGTTGCCAATAGGAGTCAAAGCATATCCATGCAAGCTAACTATGTTTCTGTGTCTGATACTCCCAATGGTCTCGAGTTCTGTCTCAAACTCGCGCAAGTTGTGCGGATACTGGTTGTAGAGTCGCTTAATGGCAAAAGGTCGGGAAGTTTTCAAAGTGCATTTGTATACCGTGCTAGAAGCACCATATCCAATTATGAACTTTTCGCTAAAGTTGTCGGTTACCCTCATTATATCATCCAATGTATGAATTGCCATGTCCATGTGCAAAATCACAAGCTTGGTTGAGCCTAAGAAGTGGATCAGAATGGCATTAACATCTAATGAACAGAAGACCGGTTACAAAAAAATATGGAGCCATTATCATTACCTTCGGCTTGTTTTGAGGAGCCCTTATGGATTTTCTTCTGCTGCTTAGATTTGTAAACCGCGACGAATATCATACATAAGAGAGTGACGAAACCGAGAACAATGCAGATCACAAAAGCTTTGGATAATACTGCAAAGACAAGAAAACAAGCTAAGTCCAAGTATATAAGAAAGAGCATCTATTGAAGACGACGCTTAGAGGATCAACATAGTAGATACCTCGGGGTTTAGCCAAAGAAGGACCACAAATAGATCCAACCCAATTTCCACAAAGATATGGATTCCCGACGAAACTATACGAAGAAAGTGAATTAGTTTTACATCACAAGATAATGTGTAATGTTCATAATGGCAGATTAGTGAGAGTAGCTTCACACCTGGCTGGAGCAAAACGAGAGAAGTTTTTCATCGCTGGTATTATCCCGGATAGATTGTTGAAGGAGACATTCCTTTAGAAGAGAAATGCTAGATTATTAAATCTTCATAACCACATCTGTAAGTGAAGTGAACATCTCTAAAAAGATAACTTACAGATTGATAAGAGTGAAACAATTTGTAAGCTGATCCGGAATTTTACCATGAAGCTTGTTGTTATTCAATATTCTGCACAAATTCGCAACGATCAATAATGCTTTTCAATATATAATGCAAACTGCAAAGGATATAAAATCATATGGTTAACTTACAAAGAGTTTAAATTCTGCAACTGGCCAAGTTCACTAGGAATAACTCCAGAGAGTAGATTGGATGATACATCACTGCAGGGAAAAAAAAGGAAAATTGAAGTAAGAAAAAAAGATGTTTTTGAAGTTTGATATAGTCAAAGGAAGCAACTTTGATCTTACATCATCTGAATGCTCCGAAGGTTCCCAAACTCTGCAGGCAATTGTCCATTGAGATGATTTCGGCTGAGATTTCTGTTCAATTAAGCAAAGATCACAAGTTAATAAAAAACGAAACTTCAAACACAAAAAATCTCACAAGTTAAGGAATGAAGACTTACAATATGAGAAGGTGTTCTAGATCACCAAGGGTTAATGGTATAGACCCTGAGAAATTATTGCCAGACAGATCTCTGGAAACAAAAGAAATGCATGATTAGTTGGTGCAAATCAAAACAAAAACATATAAACCTTGAAATGGAAGTTGAGAAGACATACAGTTTGTCAAGATTGATTATATGTCCAAGCTCAGCTGGTATTTTCCCCTTGAAATTGTTAGATGAAAGATTTCTGCACGGACAAAGATTAAAGGTCACTCAAACGTTTAATGAGATGTATTGTTACTAACATTTAATTGAATGAAACTCACAGATAAGTCAAGCTCCCGAGATTGCGGAACGCCAATGGTATAGATCCATTCAAGAGGTTCCCATGAACATTGCTGATAGCAAATAAAGCAGAGTTAAGGTTTGTGAATGAGAAGAAGAAATCATAAATTCAGAAAGATTCAATGTCATAGCTTACAATTGATTCAAGGCTGCACATGAACTAATATTAGATGGTATTGGCCCTTCCAAACGGTTGTTGGCAAGATTCCTTTCATGTCAAAAAAATGGAACATTCGAAAGAAAAGGATTAAATGTAGTGTTTAAACAAAAAAAGTGAAAAACTTTAGAGAAACACTAAAAAGGAAATCTCACAGTTCAAACAACTCCCCCAGCTTCCCAAGCTCAGGTGGTATAGTTCCCACTAGTTTATTATTGTTTAGTTGCCTGCCAAATCGTATTAAGTAAAACAGAAAAGATTAGTATATGGATTACAAAAGTTATGTAAACTAATTTGAAGTTTAATCAAACTTACAAATAGCTCAGGTGTGACATATTCCCAAGCTCAGATGGGATGTGACCAGTGAGCATGTTGCCATGAAGATACCTATTCCGACAAAAACATGTATTCATATATGCCAAGAGCTAAAACTATGAAGCATACCATGGTTTTGTACAAAGGAGACTCACAACTTTCCAGTAAATGAGAGATTGCCAAGAATCGGTGGGATAGGACCAACTAGCTCATTGTCACTCAAATCCCTGGGAATTTGAATAGGATTAACAAAGTCAGATTAGCCGAAAAACCCAATGTACAATTTGGTGCTACTAACTGAACTTACAAAACAGCAAGAGCCTGCATTAGACCAATAACTTCCGGAATTCTACCAGTCAATCTGTTTCCTTGTAGTGACCTTGAAGAAAAAATAATACACCTTCAATAACCGCATGACTACATTCATCAAATCATACCAAGGTTAAATAAACTCAATACTCACAGAGTCGCGACTTGGAGAAAGCCGATATTGTAAGGTATCACACCAGTTATCTGATTGTAAGATATGTCCCTGTAAATTCAAAAGACATGAGTCTTCAGTAGATTTCAATGCTAGAAGACTCATGAGTTATAAGAAGGAGGCACATACAGGATTTCAAAGCTTGTGCAATTCCCAATGCTCTCCGGGATAGTTCCAGTTAGATTATTGCCTCTCACGTCACTTTAAACAACAAAACAAGTAAAAAACAAATACATTAAGAATTTCACAAAACAAAGAAGGATCAAGAGCTATACAAGACTCAAAAGATGGCAAGAGTTAGTTCCACTTACAAGTACCACAAACCGGTTAGCTGACACATATCAGAAGACAACGTTCCAGTCAACATGTTCCCGCGTAAACCCCTGCAAAGAGAATGCATTAGAAGGAGAAAAATCATCTCTAATGGTGTAAAGAAATCGGAGTAAGTGACTGTGATGAACTTACAGGTATTGTAAAACTTCATTCCAATAAAGTAACCTCGGTATCTCACCTGTTAGATGATTCCCTGCAAGATCACTGCAACCTCATGATTAGAAAATAGTAATAATATGTTTAACTTATATGCTTTGATGAAAAAATGATGCAAGTACAGAACTCACAGTCTCTTAAGGTTTGGAATCTGAGTTAAGGTTGCTGGTATTGGGCCAGTGAGCAGATTGTTCTTTAGGTTCCTGATATATCCACAAGTTAAAACATTCACAAAATGAACAAGGAGACAAAAATGGAACTTAAAAATAAGAAAACGGTCACAGTGTAACGCATACAGAGTGTCCAGCTGCTTGAGTTTAGAGATTGAGAAGGGAATGTCTCCATATAACAGATTATCAGAGAAATCCCTGTACAAAATAGAATATTTTTTGAAACTCCAATCACCAAACTTGAAAATGAAAACTCTTATAAAAAAGTTGTGTTTTTTAAGACTTAC